GACTTCTGAGAAAGTAGTACACAAAGAAAAGTGCTGATTCGATGAAGTTTGGTCGCCTCTGAATCAAGTTTATGTGCCTAAGAAGAAAGAAGAAGTTCCCACTACTACTATTGATATCATCGAGCAAGCATCCATTATAATAGGCTCCATGGAGATGTCGGTCAATGAAATTGATGAGCAAATTTATCATTAAAAATCAGACTAATATACTATGCAAGAAGTGAAGATAGGTGTTGCCAGAAATGTTGGTGAAGCTACATATTTCAGATCTTTTCAACCAAAATGGTGCCCTTTAGGTTTGAACAAGACGTAACGACGGCGCAAGCTTTAACACGCTTGATGTAAGAAAATGAAGCAAGAAATCTAGAGTTGCTTCAATGACGGTCATTACACACATATTTCTCTTTGAACAAAATGGGCAATACATGTATCGCTCTTGTAGACTAAAAATAGCCCATGAGCTTGACACCAGTGCTATTGTTGTCATGTATTTTTAAACTCACATGGGTTTCGCTAAAAATAGAAGGTTCATGTTTATAGAAAACTATGATAGGAGTCAAAGATGGACTAGAAATCAAATGCAATTGAAAGGATCAAAATTTAGCTAAATTTACAAAAACTCATGAAAAAAAATTGGCACAGGCCGGTTTGGGACCTCTCTGACCAAGTAGCACCTAAAATTGGTGCAGGCTAATTTCTCTAGAGAGGCTCACGAGGCACTATTGAAACTGTCCTAGACCAATTTTGGAAGTCCAAGGGATTTCAAGATTTTTCTGTTGGGAAGGATCACGGCCTATTGAGAGATCTATCTATTAAATCGATCAATAAGATGTCCTGGATGGCCTTACCGACCCTATGGCACTTCAACGTGTGTTTTCCTAATGGAGATGTTCGAGGATTTTTCGAGCGAAAGAACTAGCATTAAGCCGGCCTCGCTGACCCTCTGGTTCGTCTTGCCGCTTCGATCTACCTCTGTTGCGTGTTCTTGTCGTGTGTGGCCCGTGCATGGTGTGTGACTGATTTAGCATCCACAACAAGCATTTTTGTTAAGCGGTACCCCTTCACAATGTTTAGTCCATCCATCTTGCACATATAATGCCCTCATCGCTTCACTCTTGTCTATTTCCGTGGCTCGTACTTGTCTCACCGAGCTTCACCTGATTCATGTTATGCCTCTTCTTTTATGCTCAGTCAGGTATCACCGTATCAGTAACTGTTTTAATTCTGCCCTGTAACTTTCCGCCTGTTCGCTTGCTCGTAAACGATCGTAAATTTCCAGTCGGGAACAGTGTTTTTCTCTCACACCAAACCAGCCAGCAGTAAATAATCCACGATACAATACGGCCTCCCGAACAGGCCATTTGTAGTCGGAATTTTCTCATCCATATGGACGCCTTCAAGTGATTCCACATGCGTTTGTTCATTGCACCTGCTCTCTGACATGAGTAGTACATGTCACCCCCCACTTCACATGTGAGTACCGGCTGCATCACTGCCTGGAGTCAAAGACACTATGAGTAGAAAATCATTGAAATCCTCTAGCACCATGTGCTCAGCAACTAGAAAATCGCGAGGATTGACGAGCACTGTACTATCGCACTAAAATAGAGCTAATCCCGTTCCACCATCCAACACACATCTCTGCGTTCCACAAATAACAAATTGAGGGCCGGCAGAGGTCATTTCTCTCGTAGAAGCCACCCTTAATTAACCCCCCTCCACCGTCCACTCATTGCTTCCATATTTAAGCTAAAACAAGCTACTTAACCATGGTATCGTAAGTTATTACGCAACAAATCGGATCACCAGTGGGCATATATTATTTATATATGTATATAAATGCATCAGACCATCAGAGGACACGAGCAGAATAAACATTTTTCCTGGCCAAATCTTGGATGCTTCCACAGCGCTCACCTACTCCATTGTCCATGGCGGTGTCCTGCATGCGGAGCACTTGAGTTTCGCTCGCACCGGCTCCATTTGCGAACCTACAAACCCCGAACAACTCCCAGATTAGCCATACCAGGCCTTCCTTCCATAACCAGATCCATCCGACCAACAACAGAGGTGAAGAGAGAGCGCTGCGAGATGGATGGCTACAGCAACCTCGCGTTCTCCCCTCCGACGGCGACGATGGTGACGGCGAGCGGCGGTTCCGCCAGGGCGGCGAGGCCGTCGATGGAGCTGACCAACACGAAGGAGACCAAGGCGTGGGAGGGCCTGGCCATCGGCGCGGTCACGCTGGCCCGGACGTTCTCCACGGGCTCACACGGGTTCTGCAGGTCCGGCAGCGAGAGGAGCAGGATCAGGAGGAGCCGGAGCAGCCTGCCGGGCGCACTGAGGCGGGCCTTCTCCATGCGGCGCCACCCCGCGGGCCTCGGCGCCGGCGGGGACGGGTACTGGAGGATCCACGACATGGATGGGGACAGCGACCGCGGCGATGACACTGACACGGTCGAGGAGCGCGGCGAGGACGAAGCCGCAGCTGCCGAGGAGGTGGAGAACAAGAAGACGGAGCAGCGAGACGAAGATGCTGCGGCAGGAAAGGAGGAAGCCGAGTGCAGGAACAAGAAGGAGAAGAAGCAGCGGGGTGGCATCTGGAAGGCGTGCAAGAAGCTTTTCCGGTTGTAAAATAGTGTAATGGCATCATGCATCAGCTGCTGCTGTAACAGATTAAGAAATGTCGGGGTGCTAGACTGTCAATGCGTCTAGTTGATCTTGTGGTTAGTGCAGTGCTCATATTTGATCTTTTTTCTTCTTTGATTATGTATTGGAAAGATGCAAACGATCGAGATGATCATACGCCATTGCTGTACGCCTGTGCGACTGAGCAAGAAGCTTGCTAAGGTCAATGCCTATTCATTGGGTCGTAATTGGCTTTATCGGTCAACTAACAATATTTTTACTCTGCACCAAACTAGCCAACCGTATTTTCGAAGATTCATTTGGGTCGTATTTGCCTTATAATCCATGTCTTATCAGCCAACGAACAGTATTTTTTCTCATACCAAACCAGCCAACCATACTTTCAGTTATGATTTATCAGCCAACCAAACCCAACCCAGAGGAACATGACGCAGGCCTTGACAAGTGGTCTAAAGATGCCATCAGGACACGGGAGTCAAACGAGGTCCTGAGAGTTCGTGCGCAATCTCACTGTCGGGCGGGCACGACGGTCCCACGCCTGTTGGGGTGTCGTTCGTGAACGGTGAATCGCGATCCTTGCCCTCGCAGCGCACGCTGAAATGCACCTCAGAAGGCCGAGTGCTCCTTCGATTCTGGATCAAGACGGACTTCGGACTAGCAGTCCAAGTGCAATCCCTTCGACGCCGGGCCGGTTCTCTGTGTTGGGCTATGCATAGATAAGACTAAGCCGAGCTAAATATAACGGAAAGGCTGGATAGAGGGCCTGTTTAGCAGTTTATTTTTTTAGCCTTTCTGAATCTTAAAATAAAATTTTTAATAATAGCACTGATCATGACTTAACCTTTTTTTGGCTTGCCAACTAGCAAGGTGTCTTGTTGTCCAAAAAAAAAACTAGCTAGGTGTCTCAGGTAAATAGTGTGGCCGCTAGATTGGGAAGCAAGGTGGCATGCCAACTAACCCTTTTTTTTACATTATTTATGTACCTTGTTTCTCAATTTGTATGGATATAAAATTTACTATTTTAAACATTTTAATTCTCAATTAAGCTCTACATTAATCATGTTTGGCATAGGCACTTTGATTATATCTAAATCATTATTTATGTACCTTGCTTCTCTATTTGTATGGATATGAAATTTACTATTTTAAACATTTTAATTCTCAATTAAGCTCTACATTAATCATGTTTGTCATAGACACTTTGATTATATCTAAATCATTATATAATCACTCAAACAAGTGTATATTATTTTGGTCTTCTCGAAACGTGTCAAGATCAACCTAGAGGGCTTCAAACGAGAAATTAAGGGCCTGATTGGTTCACTACCAAAATTTGCCATGTCCAAGATTTGGAAAGAAAAAGTTACCAAAACTAGGGCAAAAATATTTGCCATGGATCCGGCATGCCAATTGTGAGGTATTGGCAAATTTTGGTAGCAAACCAAATGGCTGCTAAAATTTTGGCTTGCCTAAGTTTTGGCAAACAAATTTTGGCAAGCAACCAATCAGGGTCTAAGATCTATCATAGTTAAGTACTACTATTTTTCCTATTTCAAATTCCAAACCTTATCTATTAATTAGTAAAATTTTCATTTGTTGTTTATTAGATGTTTTTATTTCAATCCTAGTAGAAATCACAATACCATTTTTCACAGCAGATAGGGCATGTTTGGACGGCGCGCGGCCACGCCGGAAGTGCGGCGAAGAAATCGGCCACCGCACTTGGCAACTTTGGGCGCAAAAATGAACTGGAGGAGCATGGCGACGCCACGACTGCGGCAGCAAAGCAAACGGTTGCCCAAAGTGCAGCGCGGTGTCCGCGGCAGCGGTGTGGCATAGTGCGGCCACCATCCAAACACACTCATAGCTCATAGCAACCTTTTCACAGCTAAACCTAAGTTGATTCATCCAAAATATACAACCACAAACATAAGAACAAGTACATCGGGGCAGCAAATCTCCAAAAGTCAACTTGCTCGACAAAAACACGAGAATGTATAAGCAAATAAAACACATATTTATCAATTTGCTTGCCTTTTCTTCATTTGAGATATGATATAAGTTTGATAATAATTATTGTAATGGAAACTTATCCAAAAGCTCACCAAACTCATTAGTCCTTCATTATTTTGTAATTCAACCACCAAAGCCCGATAGAGGTCTAAATGCACTTTCAGTACTAATATAAATTTAGTTATTTATCGTTTATGCTTGATATGGACTCTTTATTTACATCTGTTCAATTAGTATGGAAATCAAATTACTAATTTTAAGTTTGAAATTCCAAATTTTCTTATAAGTTAATTATATCTGACACGGACTCTTCAGTTAAATCTAGGCAATTAGACAATCATTAAAAATAAATAGTGCACAATCTTGTTTTTTGATTAATTTCGTTAACTTCTAGACCTTTTGGCTTTTAGCGATACTGACAATTTCTTTTAACACTATTATATATTACTTCATTCGTTTCAAATTATAAGTCATCTTAGTTTTTCTAGTTACATTGTTTTATTATATATCTAGATAGAAACTATGTTTAGATACATAATAAAAATTAAGTATCTAGAAAAATGAAAACAACTTATTTGGAATAAAGGGGATGTATAATAAGACAATAGAAAAGTTTGACGTGACTCCTCAACTTGATCATACTAAACTGTTTTGTTGTGACTCAAGAGATAAGCCATGAGTCACTTCAATCTATTTAGCATGACTCACCTTTTGATCCCGAACGGTGTAAATAGTTTTTGCCGGTGTGACATGATTATTCATCTCAGATTTTGTTTAAATATATCGATCTAATTTTTAACTATATAAGGCCACGTTTGGATCCTTGGAATTGAATATGTTTTAATAATCATAATTTAGACATATATTAATTAAGCTAATATGGTTGTATATGGATTATATTTTTTTATTATTGTTGGCTATATAAGAGAGATACTTATGTGTTGCATTTGTACCGTAGAGGAGCGAGTTGAAGAGTGTGTTATAAATTGCAAAATAAAAACATAAAATGATGATCTATAGAATCACTTTTCATCTGCTACCCTATGAATTTGAGATAGGCTTATATGTGAACTTGAAAAGTGGTGAAATGTTAAATTCCAAGACAAATAGTCTAATTTATCGAGTAGATTTTAATTCCTCCAAATAAAAGGATCCAAACGGTCTCTAAGCGTGTAACTCTTGAATAGAGGGACTTGGTGGGCTAACTAGTTATCAAGAGCGAATTTTTTGCAATTTGGCTCTTTTGGAAGAAAAATTACGTTTAACCCCCGAGCCACGTAAACTAATCTTTGGACTCGGGGTCGGCGCCTGGCAGCTCACGGCACCAAGGTAACACGTCTCTCGGGCGCCAGAGGTCTTGGCGCCGAGATGCCTGGCCGAGAAAAACAAGGCATCCAAGTGGCGTTGATGTGGCAGGTAGGTCGGCGCCACGAATCCTGGCGCCGAGGTTGGAGTCACAGATCTTGACGCTGACCTCGGAGCTAAGATTCCAGACGCCGACCTCGGAGCCACAGATCTTTGGGCCGAGGTCTTATACCTATACAGCGTGCCCTCTTCCTCTCGACTCCGGCGCAAGCTTTCTCTGTTTCTGTCGTCGTTCCGGCCGCCACCCGCTCCAACACCTCCGGCCGCCCGCGCCGCCACCTCCAGCCACCCGCGCCACCGCAGCAGGCTGTGGCACCAGCTCCTAAGAGCTCCGCGCCCCTGTCCGCTCCCTTGGCCGCCCTCGTTGCCCCATCCTCCTCTCTCACAAGACCGGTGGGAGAGGCGGCCCCGCTCTCCTCGGCTTCCCACCCAGAGTGGCGGACCGCGGTATTACGCTGTGGCGCGCCGCTTGCCCCCCACCGACGATTTTTTTTATTTTTAACACTTTTTGTAAACTAATTTTAAATCTAACACTGTTTACATTTTTTTTCAAAACTAACATTTTTGGCCGCGCCTATTTTCCTGGCACGACGAAACGCCTGTTCCGCGCCATGCATAGTGGCGCGGTGAGAGGGTTGACGTGGCGATGACTGGAGAACTGATCGGTGGCACGGCAGAGACAGGTAAATACCACCGCGCTTCGCCAGCTTTTTTGCGCTGGTCGCTTCGCTGCCGTGCGGCCGCACTGCCGCCACGCCACGCCTCTTTTGCTGTTGCCGCGCTGCCCACCTACGTGTTCGCCGCCGCCGCGCCCACTTATGCGCCACCGCCGCGCGCCGCCCACGTGCCCTCGTGGCCGCCGCCGGCCGCCGCGCACGCCGCCACGGCTTACCACTCGCCATGGACGACGCCGCCGCCACCCTCTCCGCCGCCCGCCGCACCCTACAGCCACGCATGGCGGCTGCCCGCCGTGCCACGGACGCCCGCCACGCCCGCCACCGCCCTCACTGTCGCGCCCGCGCCTCCTGACCCGGTCTAGCGCGCCACCGCCGCGAGGACGAGCGCCGCTGCGCGAGGTACTCCCCTAGTGTATTTGTTGATTGAATCGACATTGTTAGTATAGTAAATTAGTAAAATAGATAAAGTTTGTATAATTAGTAAAGTATAGTTAGTAAAGTTAGTTAGTTTAGTTAGTATAGGCAATATAGTAAGTTAGTATAGATAGTAAAGTTAGTTAGTTTAGTTAGTACAGTTAGTGAGTCTAGTTATACATTATATTTAGTATAATTAGTTGCTGTAGTTGGTCTTGTATAGATGTTAATATTAGATTAGTTAGTATAGTTATAGTTAGAATAGGTATTAATATTACTATAGACATTATGTACGATGACTTGATGAAGTTTCTTGAATTGCTTTTGTAGATGGATTATTGTGTTAGAGTTTTTTACGGAGGAAGTGTTAGGAGAGAAGATGTTATGTTTGAGGATATGGAAGAAGAATTGGAATGGTTTGATGAACCTCCTAGCTTCAACGACTTTTGTGTCCGTTTGAATGCAAAGTTTGGCGGTGATTTCACACTGAAGGGGAGGTTTGATACTGGGAAGACT